TGCCCAGGCTTCTGGGTCACACTCTGAGCGAGGACCTGCTTCTGCAGGTGGTGAACTTTCTGGAAGCTCGGGCCATCTCCGTGACCGCGAGCGTTTGTTTCTGGCCCCACGAGGTATCGGTGTCAAGCGTTGGCGCTGGCCCATTATTTGACTGGGTCAAGTGCTAGTTAAAAGCGAAAGACTGGTTCTGACTGCCCAACAGTCATGACAATGACCCCAGTTGCCAGCTGGATTTGCGCTGGGCCCAACAGAGTTATCGAAGTCAGAAACTGGGGTCATTTCACAACCGCACTTAGGGAGGTGACTTGGGTAGTAAAACACAGGGTCCAGTGCAATGCGCGTTTCTGTAGCTCGCAATTTGCGTTTTCTTGTGGCGTTTCGGGATCCACAGTTTCCTAAACACATGGGATATTTGGTCGGGAGCAACCCACTGGGTCCCTTTGAGAGAGAGTCCCTGGGATTTTGGCGAGAGTGCAACCCGGGTGAAACAAGCAGTTGCCATCAAGCCTATTGAATGAGAAAACTGGAGCAATGGTTCAGAGAGGTCAGGAGCCCCAATGGCAGAACGGTTCAGGACTAGATGCTATGCATTGAGATCCCCGGCTCAGATGCGATCGATGTGTGTGTGTGTGTGTGACCTTGCTCGTGTTGTCCCCCCTTTCGCCTTTTGTGTGAATCTTTGAATCGTTCTCAGTTCCTGTTGTCGATCTTTTGGCATGGTTTGCAGCAGGCCGAGGACCTGAAGCGAGCCCCATTGTGAAGGCTGCATTGAATACCGAAGGTTGGGCATGCTTCAATTGCAAAGCAAATGTAAACCCCGAAGAACATATAATACGCCTGGTTGATTTTAAAAGGGGTGTTACAGGGCGTTACTTGCTGGGTAAAGATCCTTCACTGTTTAAAGGACCACTCCCACTTTTGTAAATCTGCCATTGTTAGTCCGGTGAAATGCCAACTGCCGGTTGTTCTTGGTGAGAGTGGCCACCTTGATGCCCTTTTCAGTTTCCAACTTGCTACATCTCGAATCTCGTCATCTCTTGCCTGAAATTCCAACATGGTTACAAGGTTATCCGTCATTCTCATCCCCAAGGCACAAGAAGACAAGAATTCTCGAAACAATTCAGGTTCCATAACAGCCGTGTTAACTGCAATTAGCTGCAACACACCATTGTGTGCTATCCTTTGATTCTTCTGGTGATTGCTGAGTTTTTAACAAACGTCAACCCCCAAAAAGCTCCGTTTTCAACCAGGGACACGAAGGGTTGCCGTTTTTTGCATCCCAGGAGCGGTGTCGCAAAGGAGGCGCTTTTGCACCCCACCCGCTGCACGAAGGAGACCTTGCAAAGTTGGCCATGGTTCTTTCGGGCAAACTCCACAAGAGGCTCGGTGATGCGAAAGGGAAAGCCGAAGGATCCTTCAGCATGATTGGCGGAAGTCAGAGTCGCTGCGCCCAAGCAAAACGCGGCTTCTCGGCGAGGAGATTTACTCTCCACGGTGAGCGCCATTCAGATTGCCCGGCTTTTGAAGCGCCCGGAGCTGCTGAATGTGGAGGCGTGCAAATCGTTTGCTTGATTTTGCTTGCCGCGACCGGCTTGAGGGAACTCAAGACATGGACTCTTGATGCTCAGGCCTCGATTTTGCGCGCGCTTGGCGTGTTTGCTTTGCTTTGCTTTGCTTTGCTTTGCTTTCTTTGCTTGCTGGTATTGGTTTGTAACGAACCGTTTTATATCGCAAAGGGGAAGAATCACTTGCTAATGGGCGCGCACTTCACTCACCGGACCTTTCATGCTTGGCCCTCCCTGGGCATTGGGTCCAACTTGCCAAATTGCTCATCTATTGATTGGGTCTATGTGACGCATAGTTTATGCGTAAAATCGGGTTGAACACTCCCAAAGCAGCATAAATGCTCCATCCAGATGAGCCCGCAGCTCGAGATGGTGTAGGTTTGTAGGGCGGTTTGGATGTGTACTGCTCGTGGCTTCTTGGGCGCTTTGGGGAGTTTGAGTGCTTTCCTTTGTCGCGCAAGCATCGCCCACCACAACTTGCTGGTTTCGCCAGGAGACTTGCAGCTTTGCCTCTTGGCAGAACGCCACGCATGGGCACCATGAGCAGCGCGTATGTGCGTGCAGTCTTCGCTTTGGCAACTAGAGCTTGGTAGCATGACTCAGGTCTGTGTCAAGAAGGGGTTCTGATTTGCTCGGGGGTGCGGTAATGACATACCAGGCCAATTACTTTGGTCAAGCCATCCTGTTCTACACTTGTGCCCATTCGGGGTGTCCAAACCAAAACTAGCAGCCTTCGGCCGCTTTTTTTGACCAGGGTTTGCCCTACCAAACAGGGCGCCCCTCAGGTCAACATTTTGAGCAACCCAGCAGAAGGTTCTCAACCCCCCCCCCCTCAAACCAAAAAATAATGCCAAAAACCCCCACCCACCCCCAACCACCCCCAACCACCCACTCACCCACCCCACCTCCACCCACCCACCCCCCCCAAAAAAGGACCGTCTCAAACCACCTGGAGGTCCAGTCGCTGCAGCTGCCGGACGGCAGCTTCGTCCAACGTGTCGGGGCCACGGAGGGAGACGCTCGCTTCACCTTCGCGGCGATCTGCGGCCTGCGGCTCTTGGGCCAACACCCCAGGTGCCAGGAGGGCCGAAGAACCAAAACAGAAAGCCAAAAAAAGACGGGGGCTTTTAAGGGACGCACCAAAAAAAACACACGGGGGATCCTGGAACTCACCAAGCAAGGGAAAAACGGGAAGCAAAAAGCGGGGACTTGTGGGACTCACCAAGGAAAGTGGGCTGATTTGTGTGGGTCCGAACATGTTCCATGTGTGAAACATCACTTTAGCCTATTCGCTGTTTTTCCCACGGCTTGCTCGGGGAAGCAGATTCATCCCATGCACCTGACTCTTTCAGCCGGGTGGGTGACAAAAAGCTAAAGCACAACCTTGCACCGCTTGCTACACCCTAACCGTTATCCACACACCGCCGAGCTGGCAGATGATACATGCATACTCTTTCCATTGGGCCTGGCTTGCCGGATGTTGGGGCAGAAAATGAGATTAGCGTTTCCTGGGCAGTGCAAACAACAAATCAAACTTGAGAGTAACTTGAGACCATGTTCTATGTTTGGGTTCATTTCGCCCAGCTTAAGTACTGAGACTCCCCCTACTTTGTGATCTCGGAGTGTCCAGGTTTTTCGTTCAGGATTATTTGTTGCGGCGAGGGTGTTGGACTGGACATTGTGGAAGCAACCAGCAATTCGGTCACATGAGCTTACTCCCTCGATTTCCGGTCAGAACAAGGAACGCTTTTCAGGGGCCTTCAAAACATGGGTGCGTACCTTTCCCCTCAACATCACCCCTACCGAGGAATTCTTCGATTTTTCCTAGCTTTCGGGAAAGAGTTTCCACATGTGATGCTTCCAAACTTTTGGGAGCGTTTTGCCGCACATGCAACGGGCGGCTGCAAGAAACGCCGCACAAAGGTGGCAGGTCCAAGGTCGTTGCTGTGCTTGCTCCTTGCCAGGAAAACATAAAGCAAACAGCAGCCTTGGCAGCAGAATAGATCGTGATGAATATATGAATGGCGCCGTCCGCTCAAACAAGCCAACGAGCTGTCTCCGCACTTGTCGGATGGGATTCTGAGCAATGCTTCTTGGCTTTTGATCAATGCCCTCTCACATGTTCCAAACAAAGTCTTCTACAGATCGCCCATTTTGTTAAATCTGATGCGGCACCCTTGACGGACTCCCTTGCTACATGATCACCCAACTCTTTCCTATTGGTTTCTCCTGGAGCAGCAAGTTGATGGCCAAGTTGCCAACTAGTCATGGAAGTGGAAAGCATGGTTTGGAAGACTGCCATCTTAGCAATGACTTATGTCCACGCTGGATGTTGCGGATCAGAGCAATCCTTGCCCCCAAATAGGTGGCTTTACCAACGGGTTTCCTCGGGCCCCGGTCAGTGATAGGCGTCTCATTTGAATCCTCTTAATTTCCAAGCCAGCAGAAACCTTTTTGGTAGTGAGGCTCTCAACATGGTAGACCCTCTTTGGGCTGGTTCTGAAAGCGGAACCTAAATGAAACCCAAGCTCTTGGGGGACCGATTCCCATTTCGCGAAGCCAACGCGCTTTTTTCAGGACGAGATCGCCGGGTGGCTGGTGCGGTGCCAAAATTTGGACGGAGGCTTCGGGTGCCGACCAAAGGAATGCGAGTCTCACGCAGGCCACTCCTTCTGCTGCCTCGCCGGCCTGCACCTCGTCCAAAAAGGGGCCTGGGGCCGGTTCCTCGCTCGAGTTCTGGACTTCGTTCTTGGGAAGACCATTTGGGTGGCAAAGAGTTCTGATGGATTTTGCCAATTTCAGGACGTGAGGTTCATGGTTTCTTTGTTGGCTGGTGCGGGCGGCTTTTTTTTTGCCACCTTGGCACCAGCTGATCCTCACTATCGTGCAACGTGACGGTGGTCGGTTTCCTCCGAACCTTCGAAAGATGAAGCAATCAGGGTCAACAATTGGTTTGTTTGTTTGTCTTTCCTTTGGTTTGCGCCGGTCTTTTTGCAGGGGCCACTCTTCTACCCTTGTGCTTGGGAGTCTTCGGGGCAACCCTTGTGCCACCCATGGGCTTGCAACCTCGCCGCAGGTCCCTCGAATGAAAGCAATCTCATGCATCTGTCTATCTAACCTACCTTCACTTTGAGGGGTGGCGTGCCGGCGGCAAGAACATATCTCACATATTTTCGTGATTCCACCAGAAGAAATTAGTACCTTACAAAATGGAGCCTAAACATAGCATCAGGAAGGCAGCTTTCCTCTGAACGTGAGCTTTGTGCAGATTCCATGTTAAAGTTTTTTGAGGTAATTTCTCCAACAAGGGGTTCTTTCCGTGAAATGGAGGTCTTTGCCGGATTCAGGTGGACCCGCAGGAGAGTACTCGAGGCTGGTCTTGCTGCAAAAGAACACCGCTGGAAGTACAGCCGACCAGTGAATAGTTCTCGTTTGATTTTGGTCAGACACCATCCAAAAGGTCCAAACATCTGAGACAGATCCAGCTGCACTATCTTAAGCAGAGCGCGCATGCAGATGCAGCAACACTTGCTTGCATAAGGGTTCGAGATTGTCTTGAGGGCCGGGCAAAAAAACCACCTGATATCCCCCGGGGTGCCTAGGAGTGGGCGTTTTCGCTGCGTCAGGCAGTTGCTTTCGAGACTCGGTGATACGAGCCCTCGCGGCCGAGCTCGGCTGCTGCGGTGGCTGGGCTCCAGACAGTGCGAAGGACGCTCGAATCTCCGTCCTTCAGGGGTTCTTTCGGGGGTCCTTCAAGAGGCAGGATTCTGGATGTATCTGACTACGAACTGCGTATTTCATCAGCTGAATTGTGGCAGAGGTGTTGGAGGAAGCTGTTGAAAGGTGGGGAATTGGTGAATTTCAGCAAACGCATTTCCCTTACGAATGTTTTCTGGGGTCCATGATGATTGGTCAGCTATTATTTTGCCGGTCTTGATCAAAAAGGCTCGTACCATTGCGAAGATCGAAACGTCAAGAGTCCGCGTCTTAGTGAGTTGCGCAGACGTCAGCGGCATGGGCTATGTCCTGTCTCACTTCCCAGAGCATCAAAACGGACGAGGGGACGGACAGCTTGATGCCTGTTTGTAGAGACGCCGGCGGTATTTGCTTTTGTTTTCGGTCCCAGGGTTTCCCCTTTGCCCAAGGTGTTCAGTCAATTTCAGTCACACCTGTGTTTTCCTTTCTCTTCCAGTTGCTTCCCCACTAGGTTACTGGGAATGAACCCCCGCAAAAGGCTTGTCCCTTCCCTATGGTCGCCTGAAGCATGCATGGTTGGCTTTCCGCGGGCGAGGTGGCTTTTGTCTTAGAATTCGTCCGTCTCACCTGGGGAGTTCGCACCCATAATTCAACCCAGATAAGGCATGAAGATAAGCACCATATGGCCCTCAAGTACCTCCCCGTGTACAGGACTCCCGCTCGGTACAAATGAATAGCGCCCGACACGATAAAAGCAGATGATGACTCACTGGATCCAAGAGAGTCCCCCTGTGTTGCTCTAACATGGGGTCGTTTCAGCTTTATTCCAAATGGTAACCGACATGGTGAGATTTCAGCTGATTCATTCATTCACGATGCAAGTGGCTAACCTCCAGGGGGCGCATGCAATGCTGAGCGCACCCTTTCTGGGCTAAAAGCAAACCAAGCAAAGACTCTCTCTTCGTTTCTGGGGAGGGGTTCGTGGTTGGCATTCTGCAGGTGGCGTTCGGGTTCATTCGGATTCAGATTCGCCGACTTTCTCCCAGGAGGTGGCATGAACGGGCGCCCGGGCAAGGCAGGAGACAGCTGCTACAGCTGGTGGACCCTGGCAGCGGCCAAACTCTTGGACGAGGGCCAGGAGGTGCCATGGGGTCTCCTCCAAAGCCTTTTGCAGGCATGTTGGGTCGTAGGCTAGAAATACATGAAGCTAAGTCTGGACATGTTGTTTGTTTGTGTAATTTCCCAGGTGTCGGCCAAGAAGGCACTAATTGCCCTCCCCTCCACGCAGGAGTGGGGCCGATTTAGAAGCATGGCCTTCCACTCGTCAGGTTCCAGTTTAGGGGATAGGAGGGTACGTAGTTGGTTGTTGACAATGGCTTGGCCAATACGTTTAACCCGAAGATTGTCTAAGCCTCATTTGGGTTTAGCTACGGAGACCAGGGTTTGGTTCAACGGATCTTGCCCTAGCCAGAACTCACCAAGGAAGCTCAACATCGAAAACTGATCAGAAGAGTTGCTTTTTCCTGGGGCAGCTAGCATCCTGTGAAATGCCAAGCCACTGCCCAGTAGTCAAGCAGGGGGTTATGAGTCCTGGGTTGCCTCGAATGTCAGCTGTCAGGCGGGGGAACCCCCCTTTCAGTTGGGATTTCATTCATTAGCGGGGAATTCTTTGGATTAGTGCAGTCCTCCGGATTTATCCGCTGGCGGTGGCGACCGACCAATCCGATTGAAGCCCTCAATCCATGATCAGTGGTTTACTTTTGCACTTTTCACCATTTTGCTTGTCGCTGTCATTGGGGGGTAGTCAAACAAACGGCGGAGGGCTACCATCATTGTAAATATAACATCAAGGTTTAATTAGTTTAAATTGTGAAGATTCGTTCAGTCGCTGGTGTGAAACAGTCACCAGTATTTTCAATCTGGTCGTTTGAACACGATCCCCTCCCTACCAAATCTCTAGATTCCTTTGTGGGGATTCAGCTCTCAGGAACTCCACTCGAATAGAGGACAACAAAGCGCCCTCAGGAGCTTGGTCGCATGTTCGACCTGCCTGCGCTGGAAGGCTTCATTGAGAGCTGCATGTCATCTGAGGGGGGCGTGGCTCCCCACCCGGGTGATGCGCCAGATCCCTTCCACACCTTCTTCGGCCTGGCTGGGCTATCCTTGGCCCAGCATGCCGCACGTGGAGGGGCGTCGGCCAAGTTGCAGCAGATGGATCCGGCTCTTGTCCTTCCTATAGGCCGCCTGGCATCGAGCGCCTAAACCCCTCATTTGACAAGCGAATCAAGTTTCAGTTCTAAGGTTTATGTAAGTCAGTCCCGCATGAGGCGCAGCCAATCTCAAGGACGCATGGGTTGACTGCAAAGTGCGGCAAACACAGGAAGGCACAAAAACACATCACAGGCATAAGACATGAGCAATGCAAACGCACGAGCCATAACACGCAAGCACAAAAACACACACACACACATACATGAAAGCACACACACACACACACGAACATGCAAACACATGGGCACATAAAGACATCCAAAGACACAAATACAGAGCACGAAAGCACACAGCACACATAAACACACAGACACATAAACACGCACAAACGCAAACACATAGAGACACGCTAACACACACTAACACACACACACACACACACACACACACACACACACACACACACACACACACACACACACACACACACACACACACACACACACACACACACACACACACACACACACACACACACACACACACTTGAACTCCAGATGGAGAGTGCTAATCTTTCGAGTACAACTGATGAGTCTCGAGTACAACCGACAAGTCTCGAGTATGATGAGTTTCGGCTCTCAATGCACTTGGCTTCCCTCTAGTGTCGAACACGTTACGAGCAAGAACAAGAAGCACAAACAGCGCCGCAACCAAGGGCCAAAAGGACTTTCAGAATCACTGAAGCAGGTACAGGTGTCCACGTCTGGACGCCCTTCCCACCTTTGGCAACAGCTTCATTGCGTGCAGTATGCCAAAGGTGCTGCACGCCCCTGCTGCGAAACCGAAAGGGTGGTGACAGGGCATTCTGTCACTCCGCACACACACGCCCCTCTACGAGGGGCGAGGTTTCTCTTTTCTCCTGCAGGAAGATCACATGCTCAAACTCAAATCACTATCGTTGACCAAAATATCCACCACGGCGAGGGGAGCGAGACACTGCCCTAAACCGCTCAGAAGACGGGAACGAAAGTTCACAACGTTGAGCATTGCGAGTGTCGCCATAGAGGACTGAAGCGATCTGCGAAGCAGCCGGGCGATCACCATGAGAAAACGGAGTGGCATAGGTGAAGGTCTCCTCAACTTGAACGGCATCGGAGTTCCGACCTTGACCAAGAGTCTGATCATGTGAATAGTGAGTTGCGAAGGACTCAATCCGAGACAGAATGCGCTGGTACCCTTGGTGTTGCCAGTCACGGATGTCCCATGCCTGGACTGGCGCTTCGGGATCCGTCACCCGCTGCCATTCACGAAAAGAGTTTTCAGGTAGATCAGGTACGGCGTCACCACGGTGCCATCGTTGAGGTTGTCCCGGAGTGTAAATCCGCACCCACTCCTGATCATGCCAGACCGAATATTCGAGCCATGGATACTGCTTGGAATCATCGATGTCCATGTCGAGGCAAGAGGCAAGGATGGTCGCGGGCTCCGATCCAGCTAGTAGGTGGACAAGCACCATGCACAACCATGTTCAAACAACAGCAAAGCAAGATCATGCAAGTGTAGAGGTCACCCTTATTTTGTACGCTGCGCTGCTCATGCAAGGCTAGTCTTCAGTGAGCTCGAAGACGGGCCTCATCTTGTCTTGGCCGCTACCGGACGGATTCACGGGCGTGTAGGGGTCGGAGACCCCAATCGTCTCCGATGGTGTGTTGCCACGCGATGCACGTACTGGTTGATGAGGATGAGAGGTCAGACGTGCGCGGGCCGTCAGTTGTTGAGAAATCCCCTCCTGGAGACGAATCAGTTCCTCAGTGGAGAAATCAGCCGCATCCGAGGACCTGAGAATCGCGTCTAACAGCTCCGGCGACATACTCAACGACGCAGACTGCGTGGCCACGTTATGGTGATCGGAGGGATACATGGAATCAAATTCATGACCGGCGTGAGGAGCAGCGATTCTCCGATAGCCCTCCGTGGCCCAGTCTCGCTTGTACCACGTAGTGACTTGGACTTGCCCTTCAACTGAGTCCTGGTTGGGAGCATAGAACTCCCGCCATTCTCTGAAAGTATGCGGAGGAGGTGGAGCATCCTGTTCATCCTGAGGCGTCCATGGTCCCGGATGAAAGATCTTGACCCACTGGGCATCAGGTTGTTGAGGGTCCGGGCACCATTCCAGCCACGGCATGACAACGCAACCACGGAAAGTCAAGTTGATAGGTGTACGGCTGCAGACAACAACGAGTGAAAGCAAATCAACAATCAAAACGCAAAAGACCACTTTTGTAGCACTGTGCGGCGCCAACATCACAGTCAGACTCTCCAGGGAGGCGAGGACGGGCATCAGCTATCATGTGAATTGGATGATGCCGAAGAGGAGGTCATTCCAGCATACATGAGGTCCGGCGCACCCGAAGCGAAAACTGGCCTCGCTATGCTGGGATGTGGACGACCCAGGCGTTGGTACCCTCTGGTGACCCAGTCCCTGTAATACCAAGTGTAGAAAGTGGCGTGGGATACCGGTTGCAGAGCCGTGCCTATAGTTGTGCCGCCAGTGCTTTCCCTGGGCCAGTACACTTCGAAGTGGTAGACCTTGCGCCATTCCCGATAGGCGGTCGGGTCATCCGGGGCCGGTCCCAGGGTGTCAGGGGCTACTGGATGCCACTGACCCGGCACATAGATTCGAATCCATTCCACACTCGTTCCTGCTGGTCCATTGACGATGTCATAGTCAAAATAGCGAGGTAGGATCCATCCTGCTGCACCCTGCACCGTACTATTGAACATTTCAACCCGACAAGCTGCTCAAAGTTATCACAGAGAGCGGCGGACACATGGAGACAACATGCACAGCACCAAGCAAGACAACCCAATGAGAACTCACATTCAAAGCACGCACAACCTCATCTTTATCCAACATGCAACTCAAGAGTCAATCCGAATTATTCCAAGGATCATGGAATGGTGGCGGTGACGGTTCCCGCCACGCTCCATCAGGTACCGACGAGCCCACCGAGGACTCGATGTCTGCGTTGGCGAGCATCGCGAGTCCGATGGATTGGACAGGAGGTCCAAGTCGTTGGTACCCTCGCGTTTGCCAGTCTCGGTACTCCCACACGTGATAGGACACATAGGAACTGGGCGTGGCAATAGGATCCATTGTGGTGCCTCCGGTGCTGTCTTCAGACCAGTACACTTGGAAGTGATATGATCTGCGCCACTCCCGAAACGTGGAAGCGTAAAGTGGGTCCGGAACTGGCGCCTCCTCAGGAACGGGCCTCCAAATGCCCGGAGAGTAAATTCGAATCCATTCCACTCCTCTATCGATCTGGTACTCGAAATACTGGGGGTTCATAGCAGCAATACGGGCTTGCACGACTGCTAAACCAATCGAAAGTCTGCGGCAAGGACACACATGCATTGCCAACCGCACACATCCACTGAGGAGCAAGGCAACTTTTCAAACACAAGGTGAAACGGGTCAGCGAGGTCTGAAATGTCTGAAACCTGGCTTTCACTGTCTTTGATGTCGCGCACACCTGCAATGATAGTGACCTGGTCGTCTACGTGCACAAGGGGAAAGACATTTCCGTCCATGGCGCAGGATGGCGTGACAGTAATGTTTGCATGTTGCCGATGGGGATCGCGATGAACGGCCAGCACGTTTGGAATAAAACACTGTAAAGGGCCGTCGAGATCGCCTCGGCGCTGAAGCTGATGCTGTCCGAGATCGTTTGGACGAGCGCCCTGGACTGCGTGGTACTTCATCACGGGAAGGGTCAGTGCTGTAGATCGAGCGGCGTGTGCGCTGCGATTTCGAAGAGGTAGGGCAGGATTGTCCGCGAGGGGCTGAGATCGAGGGGCTGCGTACCGAGGGCATAAACTGTGGGTGTAGAATCACCGGTGGTGGTGGTGGTGGTGGAGGAGGAGGTGGAAGAAGCAATGGCAGACTTGGCGGGGGCGGAGGCGACGTAGTCAGCCGAATGGGTCTGTCGAGTAGAGCCCCGGGCCCATGAAATTGTAACCACGTCGGCTGCGCTCCATGGGTCCAGGTAATGTACGTCTGTACAACTTGTTCTGACATGATTTGAGCAACTCAGGAAAGACATCACTGCATGTCAACGACATCTCGCAACACGACAAGCAAGATTGAGTCACGTGCAAGCAAGCAAGTATCATGTGATCAACAACTCAAACCGGACACACCGCCGCCGCTTATCATTTGGTCCATCAATGGTCGCTGCTGCATTTGCCGGGCTTGTTCCTAGCCGCGAGCCTCAAGTTGTTGATAGACCTTCCATGCCTGCTTCACTTCCTCAATCGGCTTCTGAAGAAACCGCGCAATGGTCTTATAGGTGGGTCTGGAATCCTTATCTTTCTTCCGTCTCACCATTTCATCCAGCTCGCCCTGTGTCCATGCCGTGAAAGGTTCACGGTATGCATTGCGAAGTGCAATGGTAAACTCTTGTAGAAGTTCCCGAGGACCATGAACCACTGTCGGCGACGGCCGGAACGACGAGGCACCTGGATGCGGATGTATCGAACCATCAGAATCCGAATCAGGTGTCGTGGGCGTCGTCTGTCCTGGTTCTCGTGCACCGTGTGCCGCGAAAGGAGCACGAGGACGAGGCGGTGGCAGTCGATCTAACACAGATTCGGGCCGAGTACCAGGATTGTGTTCACTAGCATCACGATGTGCGGCTCGAGGCGGTGGACAAAGCCGGTATGTACCAGGTAGATGACGTGTCCACCGGTCGAGCCCGAATGCGTGTGGGGGAACGAGATCGGTCAGAGGAGGCGAGCTCCGTGATGATGCGGGGCCGCAACCCATGTCTGGAGTTTCTTGGTGCTCTCGGGGTCACCACCGTGTCTGTCGGACGACCACGCTCCGTCATCAAGGCAAAGTTCAGTGTGTCCAAAGCTGTCGCGACTTGGGATGCAAGAACATTGAGCACAGCCACCAGGTTGTTCACAAACTCAGCCGACAACTGCATGGCAACCAATCAAACCACAAGGGCAACTCACGCAAAG